TAAACATACCTTGACGAAGCCAAAAATTTCAGAAGTTGTGGCTATTTCTGTCCCTTCCTCTTCCTTTCTTCCCAAAATATTACAGAATTCCCACTGAAGGGCAGCTCAGGAGTGCCACATTTCCTACCACCCAAAGAGTAAATTTTATGGCTGGGTCAGAACAAAGCTGTTATTTCACACGTGATAATTTCTACAAATAATTGTGTGCAGAGCTGTTACGCTGCTCTTGGGAACCTCAGGGGTATTAACACCAGAAAAATTAATTATTATTTATTGCACAGGACAAATCCCAGTCACATAAATAGAAGCTAGAAGCACCCACACACTGCCAGCTTTCAACAGAGATGATGGAAGCATCACCAACACTTCTTACATGACTGTATCCATCAGATAAATACACCACGATTACTACTTTAAACAGCGAAATGTAAGAATTCAGTGGGTTTAACACTTCACACAAGCCTCGTTACAAACATTGGTGTGGTATCTTAGAAATAAGACAAAGCACAATCTTGTCAATCAGTCTGTGCCCACAGTTCAGTTTAAAACAATGGGAATAGTTTCTTCCTTCTCACAGGCACATTGCTGCCTGCTAGATTATACTGGCTGCATAATGAATTTAAGGAATCAGCATTATGGTATTCAGGCTATGGCTTAACTGTGATAAATAGTGCCTAAAATCCTATTCATCTTGGTATATCACTCATTCTTTGGAGCACACATTACTATTTAGTCATCATTTTGTTTCCAAAGTGTCAGCAAACTTAGGTAACTAACTGCACAGGTTTGTTGTTTTCTTTTTTTTCTCCACGAGTTATATTGTGGGTCATTAATGAGTTTTAACTTGGTCTGCAAATTTTTTGTCTGCTGTTTCCTGACAGCAGGCAGTTGTTTCTGGGAAGAGATATTACTGCGAGAGCCCCTGACACCATTCAGGGTTGTTTTATTCCGTGGCACTGAGATTTCTCTCCTAAGCGAGCTGAACTACTCACAGCAGTACAACAGTTGTAGAGTTCAGGAGTGGATGTTTAAGGAGAGTTTTAGGCTGGTTGGTTTTAAACAGGGGAAAATACAAAACATCACCAGCTGAACAAGACTTACAGTGAGTCTCAAATCCCTGCTGTGACCTGCCCAGAGCATCCAGGTGCTGCCATCTGAACTGAGCATTCCCTTATCAGTTGATAAAACATTGGCCTCTCTTCTCATGCTCCAAACATCTCCCGAGCTTTTGTTTCTGAACACTTTTTCAGACCCTCTTCTGCCAAGCCCCTTTTCCCCAGCCGCCCCTTTTTTTCTATGCTGCTCACATGGAACTCATTTCCAGTGGTGCAGCTCCCAATAAACAACTGCAGGTAAATTTCTCCACATCGATCTTCTTCAAACTCCTGTCCCTGCTCCCTTCCTGTTCTATTTGCCATCTCTGTGCCTGCACTGGAATTTTAGTTGAAATTTTATTATTTCATAAGGCTTTGAAGAGTTACACATATCCACTCTTCTCCCACCCTTTGCAGAACAACTCTGTAACTACAAATTGGGAATTACTGAGTTGCTTGGGATAGTGAGTATCTGGCATGGTTTCAAAGTGCTGAACTCCATGCAAGAAAGTTCTGGCTTTTCTAATGTTCCTGAAGCCACAGTGATTCCTCTGTAATTAGGAAAAAACAAAACCAGCACTAAGAAAGTGGCTTAATCTTCATCTTATCTCCCCCTGCTCAAACACTGTCCCATTAATAACGCATTTCCTTGGTTGCATGACCAATTACTGTTCCCACTAAAGTCCATGGCAGCATTCCAGCAGAACATAAGTCAGTGCCTGCAGCACAGGACTTGTGTCTCTCCATTGTTTGCTTTGTTACCTCCCTGCCAAATCCAAGGGAATGCCAGGTCACCTTCCAGCTAGTGGAGAAACCCTGGGATGCTGGGTATTCCTCTAATTCATCCTGTCAGACCTAGAAGATAACTGCTCCCAAAAACCCACAAGGGCATTGTCCCCTTTTTTCTGGAACACACACCATGGTTATGACGGACAAAATTTGCTTCTTGGTGCTGATCAACTGTCTATGAAACAAAAACATAGCTTTGAGCTTACTGCCCACTTTTAGAAACAACACAAATGTTGTAAGACTTTCCCATCTCCAAACTGCAGGAATCACAGGTGTTCCCAACACCTAAATTCCTAACACCAAGGAATTACTGCAGCTATGGGAGAGCACACAGTGCCTTTCACCAGAGACAGAGATGCTTGCTGGATTTTGAGCCAAAAGCTTCTACTCCCCCATTAATGCTGTTCAGAGTGCAATTCTTCACTTCTGGGGTAAAGACAACTTTATCTTGCAACTGATTTACAGTGTTATTCATCAGACACTACTTTTAAATATTTATATTTGTGCACTTATGTATATTAAGTTTTATAGTAACATCATCTAACTGTGGAAGACAACTAGTCTCCTCCTAATTATTCAAACCATTCTGGAATTTTGATTGGTAAAACCTTCCAACCCACTGCTGCAGCCCTTTTAACCCAAAGTGAGGTTGTTCCTCCTTTGATCTTCCACGTCAGGATTTTTTATTCAATTTTGCCAGTATTAATATCAAATGAATTGGGGCAAGTTTAGTTATTTTAAGTCCCTGCTGTGCTTTTTGAGGCAAAAATAACCTCTCTTTAATCCTAATACTTCTACCCACTACACAACAGACTGTGAGGAGCCTTGAAGAAAGAACGATACTACAGAAATCCCAATTTACAGGATTGCTCTTGTGTAAACAGGCTCTAAAAAACAAATGATAGCACAGAGCAGTGTTTGGCCTCATCCCTCACTGCAGCATTCCCTTCACATCAGAGTGCTTGCAGCAGCACGGAGCCATGCATTAATCAGGAAGCTCGAGTGACTAATCCAGTTCACTCTGTCTAGTAAGAGGATTCCAGCAGCAAACATGCCCAGTTTTCTAAGAAGAAAGCAAGCCAGCTCCAGAGGACATCAAGAAAATATGAAGTGACAGATTGGTGTCACCTAAGAGAAAGTATGGCAGGAGATGGCACCACGCTTTTCTCCACACAGAAACCAAGAAGGAGCAGGTCCAGCAGAACATCCCTGTGCTGCAAGGTTACATCATTCCTGATGAGGCACAAAGCTCTCCTTCTGCTCATGGCTTTGGCAAAGTTTTATTTTTTTATTCTTTAGTCAAATACAAGCAAAGCCATATATTTCTGAAATGTTTGCCATTTAGAAGTTAAACTCTGGTTTTAATTAACAGGTCTGGCCTTTAGGCTTAATGAGGTGAATTTTCTTGAATTCTAGTAGAACACAAGTCAGGCACAACATTTTCCCCTCAAGAAAGTCAGCATTGTCCAAAATCCACAAATAACTTGTGGAAGTCTGTTCCTACTATTTATTTCCAAATCTCAACTCTTTTTAGATAGAAGCTATTAGGAGAACAGAATAGAAACTATAGACAGAAACTACTGCTATTTAAATAGCAAGAACGAAGCTGGCCTACACATGATACATTCTTGCTGCACTGCATTTTGAACAAATAAAATTCAGGGGTATCTATGGTCATAACTGAGTGATACTAGGTATGGAGTAGAAAAGGAAATGCATCTCAACTCGGTTTTGATGTCTAGTCATCCAACTGTTCTTGCTTTTTTTTTTTTTTGTCTTACCATTGGGATTCTTTGGCTCCTCAAAACCAATGATGTTCTCGTTAAATCTAGAGACACTGCTCTGCTGTTCTGCACACACTGTACTTCCACAAATGGGATGGCTTTGGACTCAGGATACTTTACCAGAATCTGAGGATTAAATAAAATGGTAAGATTAATGCCCACAGTGCCAGCCAAGGCTCCATTATTTTCAGGAACATAGCAACACATGACTTGCAGCACAGAAAAATGCTCTCTTCACATTTCCTCCCCAAAAAAGTGAGTGCTTTAAATAGCTGCTTCCCTCTCCTCAAGCTGTGCCATTCTAGGGGAATTGGGGTAAAAGCCCCAGCTCCTTGTGAGCACCCAGTTCCACTCCTGGAACACATGAAAACAATTTTTGGCTACTCTTCCCCCGTATCCAATGACCCCTTTGTTTTTAGCCTTCCTCTCTCCTTGTTCCTGAAACTATGAGCAAAGCACTTGGCTGGAAAGTCTTTGACTAAGGGGGTATTTTCTGCCAGGTAGCTCCAAGGAAAATGTAAACTACTTTGTTAGGCAGGATCCAGTTTTCCATGAGGATGGAGCAGTTCTTGAACTCCTGCTACACTTGAACTTTGCTATTTGCCATCAGCTGAACAAGAGCTATTGACTACAACAATGAGGGCTTGTGTATAATCACAGAACAACTCAGAAGCAGCTCCTGCAAATTCTACAAAGGAGATTTTACTGCTTAATACAAAGGTAAAAAAAAAAAAAATCAGTCTAGTGGTGAGCAGAAATACCTTTCTAGGCACACCTTGCACTGATGGAGGAGTGCAGTGCTTAAGTTAGGAAATGTCCTTCCTCCCTGAAATGCAAACCATGAGCTGTAGATTTGGTGCAGCTGCCCAAACTGACACCACCTACCCCAGGAAGGGGGACAGGGCAGCCAGTAGGAACACCAGCTTTAGCATCCTCCTGAAGTCTCCTGGAATGTTCTAATCCTGACCCACAAGCCCCACAGGAAGGAGGATCTAGGTGTGATCCAGCCCTGACTCCAGGGTGGCTGTGGAGACAGCACTGGATATGGGAACTGCATCCACAAAGGACCAGACTCATCCAGGATTTACTGCAAGCTCATGGCTCAGGATTTCCATGAACTTCAGATGATGGATGTGGGTGCAAGTTCCATCACAGTCTTAACTCAGGAGCAAATACACATCCATAAGGAAAATCACTTAAATCTTCACTTTCAGTAAGAACACTAAAAAGCAAAGAGATTAAAACATCCTTTATAGGCAGCATGGATGTAAGATACAGGCAGACAGGAAAAAACAGGGCATGAGGTCACATATTTCACCACCTTGGAACAAGATTTATCTGAATTACTATGGAGAATTTTAATCCAGAGCTCATTATATAAATACATTTTTTCAAACTAAGATTATTTTAAATTATCACTATAACTTTATTAATTATCACAAAGGGCCTGGTTTATAACAGACTTGTTACACAGAACTCTTAAGTGTTCCAGTTCTGTAGTTATGTATTTTTGGTGAGATTACAAACAGTAGAACATAATTTTATTATTATTTTTCATCTGAAATATGACTCACAGTGTAAAGATTAGGTACCATCTGGTTGTATGTAACAAGTATCATTGTGCACAAATAACCACCAGCACTTCTAAGCTTTTATCTGTCTTTCAAAGCTGCAATAAATTAGATATTGGCATTTTAGACACTAAATGTTGACATTCATGGTGTAAGATGTCTAACACAGCAACATGGAATTCTTACTTGGTGGGAACAGGGAGCATTTATGTTTATCCCTAGTACAGAAAAGCATCCCAATGCTCTTGTGACGTTTGATGGAGGCACAGAAAATATCATGCAGCAGAAATGTCAGAATTTTGTGCTTAGTGACGTTGCCTCCTGTTAGTATCTAGTGTTGAAATCCGAGAAGTCGAGCTTGGAAATCTCCTTTTCATTGGAAAAATTTGTTTTATCGATGCGGGAACTCGGGCTTCCAACTTTGCTCAGCCAGGATTTCCTGCAGGAAAAATAAGAGAGGGTTGGCAGATAAGGAACTGCACACATGGGGGTTATTCTCTGTCATGCCTTCATTCACTTTTACTTTTTTAAGAGCCATAAAAAGCATCTTTCAAAAAGGAAATTACCCCAAATCTGTTCTTTTCTGCTTTCCCTCCCTTTCCCTTTTAAAAGCAAACCGAACTCTTTAAAGGCATCAGTGTTTCCAGGGGATTTACACAAAATTACATAAAAACCACAGCTGACAAAAGGGCTAAAGCAGATTTACTGCAATGATCCCTTCTAAACACTATTAATAGCATTCCAATAGGTATAATTACCTTTGCAGATTCAATACTTGTTTTTAGCAAGGACCTACAAACCACTGATAACTGAAAAGTGACAGGAAAACAATCCCAACAGCCTGTTTTTACTCCTTGCTGGCAACTAGAAGAATGGGAACGGGAAAGGGATGAGTTCAAAACCAACAAAAAAGAAACAAATTACATCAGAGCAATAATGATTTGCAATAAATACTGAATGTTTTAACTGGATACCCAAACAGTGGAAATGCAGCAGGTGAGTGCTTACACAGAGCTTTATTTACAAAAAATACTTGGCCAATATTTTTGGTTGTACTAAACTCCCAGAAGCAGAAAAGAGAAAGCATCTTATTGTACCATTTTGAAGGAGAAATATATTTCTACACAAGTAATTTTTAGAAGTTAGTATAGATACTTAGCTGATTACTATTAAAAAGAAATAAATACCTAAATTCTGTTTTGAAAACAATAGGAGCTGTCTTACAGACTTATGCTAATTAATCCTTTGCAGAATCACACTGAGCATTGTAAACTGCAATATTCTAGCAGTAAGATCTAATTTTGATGTCTTTATCATGAGAATCATGCACAGAAATTACCTTGAGCCAGTAAATCAGTATATCACATCTGAGATACAGAAACACACCTCACTAGAGACCCTACATGCAACTTTTTTTGAAAAAGCAGTTCTTGACAGCAGAAAACACTGCAAAACATCTCAAGGGGCTTCCCTGGTTACCAAAGACAATTTCCCCATGAATCACGTTAGTCCTTCGCAGATTGGTCTCATCACTGCCAGACAGTGGGACTTGAACAATAAAACAGAGCTGTATAGAATATAATACATAAAATATATATATTCTCTGTATAGAAACACTTCCTACAAAACAGCAACCAGACCCAGGTATCTCATGTTCCAAGTGTGACTTGCTCCATTTTAGCATAGAGAAATTAAACTACCTGTCAGATGTTTCCACTTCTTCACACCCCTTGTTCTTTGCTGAATGTTGGGAACAACCTTCCTTTCTGTCTCAGATAAAGCCTTTCCAGCAAGGAATACAACGCAGGAATGAGAGGAGTAAAACAGGAGAATACAACTTCCAAATTCTACTGGAAGCCTCAAGGCAGAGGGGATGTTTCAACAGAAGGAAACAAGCCTTAGGACAGACCAGTCCCTTTTGTTTCATTTTCAGAAAAAAAAGATCTGAGAATGGTTCTTTTTTATTTACCAGGAAAGTCTCCAGTAGTTGGATGTCCTTGAGAGAGAAGAACGGACAAGTATTTGGAATACTGAATTAATCCCCTAAAAATAGTAGAAATTGCATTTTAAGCAATGTAATCATTTGTTCACTACTTCCTTTTTTCTTCCCGTTTTGAAGGTGAGCTTATCCTGGACAAAACCAAAAGGAATATATTCCTTATCCAGCCTTCACAACAAGAATTCGTCCCTGGGTGCTTCCACCTCCCAAGTTCTGCTGGGTGAAGAAATAACTACAAACTGACTGGAGCAAACAACCCATTCTCAGCTCCACATACTCTCTTTCACATGAATAAGGATGAAGCACAAATTATGACAATCCAATTAGAGCAATCCAGCTCCATGGAAACTCTTTACAGGATGTGTGTGTAATTCCTTATTTAATACAGGAGGGAGGGGAGGGGGCAATACCTGGGAACTGCCGGACTTTGGGGCTCAGCTCCACATTGAGGGGGTTTTCCTCAGCCATAGCCCTCTCTCTGCTCAAGTGACAGCTCAGTCACCAGCACTATGAAGAAGCACATTTTTTACAAGCTAAGAAAGCAGAAAATCAGTAGTTCCTAGAAGTTAAACGTCATCTCCAATCTCATCACTACCAGGGGTATTTTTAAAAATGGTTTTTACTTATGAGTATCCATATCAACAGTGAACAAAAGGTTCTGCACTTCCTCCTGCTTCACTCAGCCTTCTCAATTCCCATTCACTTCATATCTCTTCATGTGTGCAGAGATGAGCTACAATTACTTGCATTTAGAGTCTTAGCTTGTCATTTATAGCATCCATGTTAAAATTCACTGCTCCTTCCCACTTCTCCTCAGGAGTGCAGAGACTCCCTCCCCCTCACTCATTCTGAAGTGAACGAGGATATTGCTGAGAGGACACCACACAGCTTCCTCTTGTTTTAAAAAAATTATTCCCAAAGTGACTGCTCCAATGAATCCAGAACAAGAGCTAACCTCTAAGTACCCATTTCTGACCACGTTTTATTTCATGGAATGGTTTGGGTTGGGAGGGACCTTAAAACCCACCCAGTGCCACCCCCAGCCATGGACAGGGACACCTTCCACTATCCCAGGTTTCTCCAAGCCCCATCCAACCTCTGGCCTTGAACACTTCCAGGGATGGGATCTGGGCAACGTATGCCAGAGCCTCAGCACCCCCACAGGGAAAAGTTCCACCCCAATATCCCACCCAACCCTGTCCTCTGTCAGTTTGAAGCCATTCCCCCTTGTCCTGGCGCTCCATTCCCTTGTAAACAGCTCCTCCCCAACCCAAGTCCATCTAGTCACTCTTGGCCGTGCTCTGATCCCACTGAGTTGTGGATAACCATGAATTTCTGATTTACACATTTACACATCTCCCTGTCCAGGGGAGAAGTCAGCACTCCTGAAACTGCTTCTCAACCAAACCACACAGCTTCCCTATCCCCATATTCATGGGGGATATTCTGAGGAGCTTAAAACAATTGGATCTGTCACTCTTTCCCTTCTTTCATTAACTGAAGCAAACCTCGCTAAGGGACACTGCCTTGGCACCCCAGCAACAGAGCCCTTTCCCCTCCACACATTCTTGGAAAACAACATCCAAAGAGCTGCGTTTGCACCATCCCAGTTTACATCCCTGTGGAAGCAGCCTCGCTATGCACAGTATTCTGAGCAGGAAAACACTCCTACCTGTTCACTTGGCCAGGATGGAGCCTGGCCAGGTATCTGCAGAGCTCCCTGGAAAAGTTATTTAAGGAGTTACATATCTGGAACATGGGATAATCACAGAATCCAAGGCTGGAAAAGACCTCCCAGTTAGATTCCAACCTTTGACCAAACACCATCTTGCCAACTAAACCACAGCACTAAGTGCTATCATTAATAATAATAATAATAATTAATAACGCTGGCACAGCCCTAAAACCCACAGTGCTTGAAATACTACAATAACAAAGTAACTTTCTGATTTCCTGAATAATATTTATTTTTTAACTCTAATCTCTGCTACAAAACATATCTCTCTAAAACAAACAGCTTGCTTGGCATTATTCTCTGAAATGTTTCTTTACAATATGAAAATTACTCCCGCAATAGTTCATTTTTTGTATGCAAAAAAACTTTTATCCTGATATTGGAGAAATTTACAGTCTGTGGTGCTAGGAAAGGACCTGGACATGCCCTCCAGCATTCATACAGGAGGAACCAGGCACAGGTTAGGAATACGTTTCTCTCTCTTGCCTCAAGCACAGTGTCACTTAAGTGGAACAGAAGAAACCTGTGCTTTTATTTAGAGGAAGAGAAAGTAACAGCACTGGCTTGTTTACACTTTATTTGCCTTTGTTTAGAATAAAATACTGCAGAGAATATTCCTTTTTGAAGATTATATTTACATCTGTGACAGCATATAGACCAGGCCTGCAAATATTTATAAAATCTCTCCAAAAATATTGTTGCCTTCTGCAACAGCACTGTCCAATTTTCATAAATCCTGATATTCCCACATTTGCAGAAGACACGTGGAATTCTCTCTCACGGCCATCTAGCTTTTGGGAAGAACTTTAGCTACAATTTTCAAGCTTTGCTCTGTAATCTTTACTCAAAAACCTTTGTTTTTATAAACCCAAAATTCCTCTGTATAAAGACACCTCCCACCTTTCCCTCCTCAGCTTACTGCAGAGCCATTCCTATTGTCCCCTCACTTCTGCTCCTCCTACCAGGAAAACAGGTAATTGTAATGAAAATTTATAGGGTTTCTTGTTGTGAAAAAGTAGCAGAAAGAACAAAAGCCCTGGTAAAATTAAGTGTGCTGGGAATACTAGGATTTGAGAACAAGGCGAAGTGCAAGGGAGGGGAATTTTAACCCCATTATTACGATGGTCCCACCAGAGCCCACCACATCCAAGCCAAGTGAAAGGTTACTCCAGAGGATTAAAGCAAGGAAGCAAAAGCAGCAGGACTGAAGGATACAGACCAAGCAGTGGGTGGCTGGAAAGGAAGGGACCTGCTGAGGCGTGGGCATGGTGGCCCAGAATAGAGCTGCAGCCTGGAGGTGTGTGGGAGCCTGGCTGCTCCTGCATCCCAACAGCAGGAATGCCTCGGCACATCGGGTATTTAACACAAGCTCTGCAAGTGTTTTAGGAAGGAGAGAAAGGTACTTAATCAAAACTGGTGTTTGACCATGCTTTTAAACACAGCTGTCAGATGAATGTTGTTAATTTATTTGTATTTCTTCCTTCCCCTCTGCACTCCGGCAGCATTTCCCTTGGGAATCCACGATGAGCTTTTCCTCGAGGTATATTGGAAAGAATGTCAGCAGCAATTTTACAGTTATTGTCGGACATGGCCCTGAGTACGCCTCAAATACACATTTTGGTGGTGAATTTCTATTTATAAACTTGAGAAAAGTGACTTATGTATTAATCATCACACTCCATATGGTATTGGCAAGGCTTTTTTA